TCGAATCTGCTCAATCTTTCTACACAGCATAAGTACATGTATATGTATCAGACAGTGTAATGGGTTCCCTCCTGTCCAGTGTATTCCCCTAACCTAGGATCAGGTGCCTCTAGTCTGTCTTCATCAGGTAATGATCCTCTGGTTAATGAGACACCAATGACACTGTGACTCCAACACCACACCTACCAATTAATAATAATAATAATAATAATAATAATAATAATAATAATAATAATAATAATAATAATAGCAGTAATTAATGAATAGGTGTGGCTTACAGGTAGACGGTTCTTGAAATGGAGGCCAGCAGCATATTCTAGAGTATCATCACTGATGTTGTATGGGACCACAATGTATGGAGGGAGACTAAGAGGAGGAGGAGGGAATGGAATAAATGATATTATACTCTATTGATGGTGATTTAGAAACACATGGCCATTAATATGTGAAATTAAGACCAAAAATTATTAGCAATATGTCAAAGCTACCAACATCATGTATCATTAATGAAGTGTATTATTATTAGTACAAACCTGTCACAGAGGAGGAAGTGTTGGTTAGCCTCAGTGACCCTCCACTGCTTCTGGTTCACTCCTAGTCTATCCAATTCCTTATAAGGAAAGTGTATAATTATTAATAAAATGACCTCATTACATTCTATTAACACTTGAAGGATATAAACCACTCACTCAGTAATTAATGGCAGAATGGGATGAAATAATAGACTCCAATCATAGTACAGTATTATTAATAATAATTGCAAGAATATTAGTGTGATTATTGTTAAATTATTTCTTACCTTCTGCCAGTCACGAGGATTGAAATAAGTTGGAATGACATCTGTTAATGAAAAAGAGAGAGAGAAAGAAAGAAAAATGGACAAAATTAGTAGTCACAGATCACTAAGGGACTTAAGTCTCATTAATGGAGGACATCTTCTCACCTTGAGAAGAAGAGGAGGATGAGGAGTGAGTGTCTTTAGTTTTATGAACTACTCGAGCGTAATCAAAAGCAAAGAGATGAAAGACACTACTGGGAGAGGAATACATCCCAAAGGAATTGACAACCTACAGATAATAGACACACACTTCAGTTTAATATGTAAAGGTTATACACTGAGAGAAGTGACATATAAAGACACTGACAAGTATTTATTAAAAAGGAAGTGCATTAGTATATACACAATATAACTACATACACAGTACAGACCAGTCTATGCCAGTACACTAACAGTACCAGTATAAGCACAGGCCAGTGCAGTACTGGTATAGTAGTATAACTATACTTACATGTACTACATCAGACTTAGAGCAACTCTTGAAACTGAACACAACCTTTCGTAAGTCCTGGAATAATGAGAATAAAGAAGTATATAAACCCATCACTCCTCCCCCTCCCTCTCTCTTACTTTACAGATTATTTCAAGTTCATTT